ATCTTCCAAGACTCTTCTCACTATCTTAAACGTTCCCTCACCCCTCCCTCGCACAGAATCCCTTCTTCACCATCCGCCTCTCCCACACGATCAATACCATCATCAGCCAGTCTCACTATGCTCTCTCTCTTCTTGTCCCTCTCTACCTCCTTCTCTCCTTTCCTCCTTCTTTCTACATTCATGACCTAATACTGCCTCCTCTACCTAAACACCTAGCTCTCCTCCACATCAGATACCCCTGACCGCTCCCGTCAAACAACACCGTTCCCAACCTTCCCCGTCCCCGTCAGCCCTCCCCCTCCACCGGCCCCGCCCTTTCCCCGACTAAGGGGACCTGCTGCCATCGACCCACTCGACCGCCACCACACGCCTACCTCCTCTCCGCCACAGTCGCTGTTCATCGCCCTCGTGCTTCAGCGCGCACGCAGACTCCGCCAATCTCCAGCATGGACGCAGCTCCTGCTCGCATCCCTCCCCTCCCCTCCCTCCCCCTCCCTCACCCTCCTCCCTCCCTCCCTCCCTCCTCCCTCCTCTCCTCCCTCCCTCCCTCCTCTCCCTCCTCCTCCTCCCTCCCTCCCTCCCTCCTCCCTCCCTCCCCTCCCTCCTTCCCTCCCTCCTCCTTTCCGCGAAAAATGTGTCGACCGGAAGCCTCTCCGCGAAATGATAGGTCTAAGATAAGGAAGTCCCAGAGGCATGTCGCTGGCGTTTCATTCTGAGAAGAAATTTGTGTGTTTGTGTGTGCATGTGTGGGTACGTATTGTGTGGGGGAGGGAGAGGGAAGGAAGAGGAGGGAGAGGGAGAGGGAGAGGGAGAGGGAGAGGGGAGAGGGAGAGGAGAGGGGAGAGGGAGAGGGAGAGGGAGAGGAGAGAGGGAAAGGAAGAGGGAGAGGGAGAGGGAGAAGAGAAGGGAGAGAGAAAAAAGAAAGAAGAGGGAGAGGGAGAGGAGAGAAGGAAGAAAGAGAGAAAAGGAGAAGAAAGAAGAAAGGACAAAAAAGAAGGAAAAGAAGAAAGGAGAGAAGGAGAGAAAGGAAAGGAGGAAAAAGAAGGGGAAGACGCGAGGGACAAATCGGAGAAGACTTTGAGAGCAGAGAGCCGAGAGGTGCGTAAGAGAAGACGTGGTATGAGTAGAGAGAAGAAGAAGAAGAGACGAAAGAACGGATGGAAAAAAAAAGTGGGAAATGGTGAGAAGACTTGAGAAAAGAGTGGAGAGAAAGAGAAAAGCGCAGGCTTGAAAGAAGAGAAAAAAAGAAGGTAGTGAATCAGGTGAGAGACGAAACTAACGAACAACAAGTGGCTTACTGTGTTAATTTATTTACTCGTTTGTGTATCCTTAGTAATATGGACATTTTTATGTTTTAGATGCAGGAATTCCTATATAACTGTTATTCCTTTCTATTTGTTTTTTGTTTTTTACTTTAACCCTATCATAGCCACATCACCTTTTTACTTATTTTTCATGGTATTTCCAATCGATTTAAGTAGAAATCGGCTTTGAATAGGGTTTTTCTCTATCTCGATCTCTTTTATTAATATTCTTTTATATTTTTCTTCAACTGGATACTCTTATTCTCTCTGCTGCCTTCTCTCATTCATACCATTCATATAAATCGGGTCTTCCAACTCACTATCCTCTCTTCTTTCTTTTATTATCTTTTCTACCAAATAAAAGACATAATCTTGTGATTTGGTCTTTCAGATAGACAATTTTATCACACATCTTATCCATCCTGTCTGATTCGATTCGAATTTTGCCTATATATTAAATTTGCCTCGCCAATCGGGAGAGCATATAATGGATGTATTCTGATACTCGCAACATATTTGTCAGTCCTTAAAGAAGAGAAAGTAATGTTATTTTATTCAGTCTCACCTATAAACCCAAAAAGGATCAACTTCTAACATAGCACTAATTCTAAAACAAAAATACAAAAGATATGAACTATATATTCAGTACTTTTTGCGAAAATTGAGTATAAGTTACTGAATTCTAAAAGATCATCCCGGCCCCGATCATATCCCACCGCGTCCTCCCGACCATCTATTCCCGAAGATGAATAAAAGAAATGGTCCACAGTTTCAATCTCAGCTAGCTTGGACCACAGAAAACAAAATTCCCTCACCCCTGACTCTCGGCGTCAATCTGCGTAAACTCTTACGGCAGCGGCTTCGGTTCACTTTCTCGCGGAACACTAATAGGAAAAATTTAATTCGTAATTTATATTACAAAAATTGAACAATTAACAACGAGGCTAATGAGATTGGCTCACAATTAGGACAATCAAAGATTATTTTGAATCATCATCACTTTTTAATGATTAGCTAAATATTTTCACCGACCATGATTCTTATATATATTTGACTTAATAGTAATAAAATTTACCAACAGACCTGATAACCACATCAAGGCAGATATTATTCAGTTGTAGTTTGGAAGTGATGATATATTGAAAAACACTTTGAAAATACACCATATTAACTAAGAAGGATAAAAAAAAATAAAAAACAAATTAACCAAGATAAATACCCGGATTGGAATACACAATTAAATAAAGTTTAATAAACAGGATTCACAGTAATAATGCCATTAACGCTTTCCATTCGATACAAAATTTTACTGACACTTACTAATCTACTACATTAATAATTTAATACTTCACTTAGAAACTGAATAATAATAATACATTTATATACAGTTACATTTAATAGCATAAATAAAATATACTAATTACTACCTATCTAATTGAATAATCACAATTCTATGAGCAATCAAATACTCTGATGACCTTAAGCTAGAGACTACTACTTCACTACCAACTACTAATCAGATCCTATATAAAATAATAATACAACAATATAGTAGCATAATAATTAAAATAATACTATAATACAACAATAACAAGAATACAACATTAATTGACCAAACAATAAAAACTCGGGAAATCGACACACCATAGCAGAGCAAATATATCAACAAAGAACGGTTCATACCGTAACACCTAACGTGGCACCTCCGCCCATATAAATCCAATGGCCAACCGTCCCCACGAAGTCCCAGAACAACGACGGCACCCAAAACAACGAGACACCAAAGTTTAAAACACACAATACACATAGCATGGGCAGCCTCCTACATCAATCGCTACCGAACAACGCCCACAACTCGCCCGATCGTCTTTTTAAAAAGCTCCCAAATTTTCTTCAACACCCATCTTCGCAGCGACCGAGAGAGGAGTACGCCGAATACATCCTCTTATAAGATTCGGCGAGAGCCAGTTTCAAAGAAACGAATGGAACTAAAATGACAAAAAACAGAAGCGACGAAAATTAAACCATATAGCCGGCTCCGCGGCAGGATATCGACAAAACGAGCTTGCCGACTATCAAAATGCCACCATCGCGAAGAAGACGGTAGAGTAAAAATGGTACTAAGGACTTGCATAAAGCATCAGTCGGATTGCACTAGTAAATATGGCGCGTTGATTATATAGGTTCCTGTCCGGCTCTTGGCGAGGCCGGAGGCAAATATCAAACCACGGGTAGGGGGGTGTATGGAGCGGGAGGGAAGTAGGGGACGTTAGATGTGAGTGGAGGGAGGAAGTGGTTGGGACCGTGGATAGGGAGTAGGAGGAAAGAGTGGATTAGGAGGAAAGAAAGTGGGGCGGAGGAGTGAGTTGGAAGAAGGAAGAAGGGACGGTAGGGTACGGGTTAGGGAAGGGGATAGGTGATCGGCTATACGGTAGGATGTGGGTCAGGAAGGAAGCGTGAATGCGGGCATTGTGGCATGGGTGGAGGGAAGCCTCACAGGGAAGGAGGTGAGGGAGGTGACGGATGCGGGAGGAGCGAGAGGAGGAAACCGGGGAGACGGGAGGGAAATTCATGACGTAACAGCCAGCTCTGTCCTCCGCGTCACGCCAAGCACCGTCACCAGCCCATGCAATAAGAGCGACGTTGTTAATGGAGCAGCTCCCTCGCATGAGAAATAACAGGTGGAGGGGGAGGGGGGAGGGGAATTTGGGAAGGGGGAGGGGGAGGGGGAGGTTGCTTGATAAAAGGAAAATCATTTTTGACTCCGAAAACTAGAAAAAAAAAAAAAAAAAAAAACAACGGAACCCACTAGAGTAACATTGCAGTTATCGAGTGTTTCATCCGGGCGGCGCAAACAAACTCAGTATCGACAATAGTAAGAGAAAGGTGGAGACAGCGAGGGAGAGGGTGATAAGGATGAAGGAGAGAGAGGGAAGTGAGAGTGGAGCGAAAGAGATAGATGGAGAATTAGAGAGAGAGAGAGAGAAGAGAGAAGAGAAGAGAAGAGAAGAGAGGAGAAGAGAAGAGAAGAGAAGAGAAGAGAAGAGAAGAGAAGAGAAGAGAAGAGAAGAGAAGAGAAGAGAAGAGAAGAGAAGAGAAGAGAAGAGAAGAGAGAGAGAGAGAAAGAAAGAGAGAGAGAGAGAAAAGAGAAAGAAAGAAAGAAAGAAAGAAAGAAAGAGAGAGAGAGAGAGAGAGAGAGAGAGAGAGAGAGAGAGAGAGAGAGAGAGAGAGAGAGAGAGAGAGAGAGAGAGAGAGAGAGAGAGAGAGAGAGAGAGAGAGAAGAGAGAGAAAGAGAGAGAGAGAGAGAGAGAGAGAGAGAGAGAGAGAGAGAGAAGAGAGAGAGAGAGAGAGAGAGAGAGAGAGAGAGAGAGAGAGAGAGAGAGAGAGAGTGAGTGAGAGTTTGCGTTCCAGGTATGCCGGATGCGAGGCCACCTTGTGACGTCACGGCCAGAAATTTTGGCGCGAAGATAATGCAGACGTTCCTTTAATTCAACTTGTTAAGAAAACAAAACAAAACAAAAAAATACATGTATTCCAAGCACACACACATACACATAAAGCTATCAATTTCTACATCAGAAATGAACCGGATTAAGTATCCCGATGAAATCAGAGGCAAAGCACTCACGAACGAACACACGAACCAACGAACAAAAACACAAACACGCGCGACAGAGTAACAATGGCGCCACTCACCATTTTTACTGTTGTTCTTGTTGTTGTTGTTCCTGTTGTTGGTCCACCTTAGCAGGCTAGAGTTCTTCATCATCCTCGCCTGCCCATCAAACACTCTGCGGGAGGAAGAGAAAAAGAAATTCATTAACAAAAAGAGAAAAATACAAGAAGCCGACAAATCAATAACAAAACAAAACGAAAAAAATTAATAAAAAGACTTACATTCCCCAAACAGGAATGAAAACCAAAAGGGGGAAATAAATAACAAAATCTGCACTCCCGCCCGTTGCAGCCCAAGCAACAGCAGCAACCCGCGCAGGGCTGCCTCGGCCGCGCCCGCCCTATGGCACCGTCGGCTGGAACCGCCATTAGCCTGGGCATGTGCCAAGGGGCAGGCTGCGATGGCCGCGCGGAACTATTTTCTGCGCGCACACACGAACCCGCAAACATACACACACGCGCGCGCACACACACAAGCATAAATGCTCACGTATACAAACATACAAAAGCAAACACGAACACACACAAAACACGCACACATAAACAAGCATAAATACCCATACAAATGCAAACACGAATGACAAACGCAACAGACACACACACACACACACACACACACACATTCAGGACCTCCTAACGCACGACAACATAAAAACCGTTGATTTTAGGACTTGGTAATAACAGGGTCATTAGCATCAGGCTGGCCGATGTGATAGCGGGAGGTTGGGGGGGAAGATGAGGAGGAGGCAGGGGGGGGGGAAGGTGGATAAGAGGGGAAGACGGAGAGGGACAGTATGGGGAGGGAAGGGTGGGGGTAGGAGGGGAAGTAGGGGAGCGGGTAGAAGGGGAGGGGGAACGAGGGAGGCTAGGAGGGTGGGGAAGGGGCGAAGGGGGAGGAGGGGTTCGCACCTAAAACGCACTCTCACTTAAGCACAAGCTGATTTGTCTGCTGTGAGGTGATCGCGACAACATCACTACTACACACTCATATAGGACAGCATCACATTCAGATTCTACATATTACACATCACGACATCTATATTGCGATCTATCAGTTTTTCTGATTCGTGTGTTATGTAGTGGTGTCGCTTGTTTGTTTATATGTGGGTTATTTTCGTGTATGTGTTGTTATTTTTAACATCGACATCTATCATCACTCCGTACACTTAACACAGCTAGCACACTCACACGTACTACACACAGCTAATTCAATCACACTACACTACATCTATTCTTTATTGATGTTATCACACTCTATCACATCAACACTATTGTACACACTACATCAATCTCCATACAATTTAAGTGTACCTATCTTTCTCATAATGTACTAGTCTGGCACACACACACACACACACACCGACGATACACACACACACACACACACACACACACCACACACAAGCTACGAGGCACGACACACACCACACACACACACACACACAAACACAAGGGAGGCGAAGAAGGTCAGACTGCTGAATGAATGATTATCATACACACACTCACAAGCACACTACACTTATGGCACCAGCAGTAGAAGAATAAAAATAGGTAGACACAACAGCATTGAATATACAATGATCTGCGCAAGTGACCACGGGGAATTAACGCAGATCCAGTGGTTTTACATGTTATCTTTGTCTTTCACCACGTATATTGCTGAAATACAGCTGGATATGCGCAAACGCGGCGATCTATATGCTCGCAGATTGCTAACTCTGTGAACTGAAGTAGCACGCCGCGCCTATATCAGTCATAAAATTTTTTCCCGGATCTCATTCCCGTGAATCGAAATTCCCACTGGTTCTCTCATATTTCCCACGTATGTCTGTGTTGAACCGAACGCGCATTACTCGAGGCATCTCTAAGCTTTACCTGCCCACGTGTATTTTCTTTGGATGTTATATCTGATGTTTCTATTTCTTGCTGTTGATGTTCTCTCCCGTTTGACACTTATGTCTGATATCGAAGAGTCGCATGCCAGCTATTGGTAATATATTCGTTGGAATGCTCTGCTGGGAGAAACTACGGACATGCGTCGGGCTTACTGTCTTCGGAGCATAATAACTCACCGATAAATCATAATTCTGCAGCCACTGGAAACAGGGCGGGTCGCTCTCAGAAAGGACTTATTCTGTCCACCTAGCTCATACCACAAATGGTGTAGCAGCTGCACACTAAACAAGTACATAACAATCACAACAGAAAATGATATGGATAAACGAGAAGTGTGTGCTCCAACTGCTACCAACATGCACTGATTGGATCATGGCTGTCAACGTCAGCAGTTATAATAACACTTAACAATAAAAGATTTCCTAAATAGAGATTCAGTAGCCAGGCGACGGCGCGCAGGAATCACAATGAACAACGAAATCACAATAGAAAATGCGATTCCTCTCATAATAATATACTGAACCTCGGTATAAGTATTATTGAACTTCAGCAAAAACAACAGATATCTGGTTTTTATCAATCTAACAGAGAGAGTCACATTCCTGTCGATCTCAGACAGCGTACACTGTAATGTCTATGCTACGATTATCATACTCGATCGAAAATATATCAACACTCGTCTAAGCGAATGGAATCAATCACAGCCTAACTCCCCTCCTGTTCCGTCCTGCATTATCTTAACAGAAAAAAAGGATAAGCAAGAGACTCGAGAAATAGCCCAACTGCAAGCATCATGGCCAAAAACAGGTGACGGGAATGGTAATTGGGATGGGCAAGGGACAGGAGAAAAAAGAACTCAACAGCGAGCAAAGAACAAACACGCCGAACCGATGGCTTGGAGCCTCCACTCCTCCACTCTCGTTCTGCTCCCTCCACTCGGCCGCACGGAGGTCGCCGAGAACACTGACAGATGTACAAATCACGAGCTATTCGCCAGAACGCCCTACCACATACTCTCCCTCAACGTGCGCATTCTCATTCCATCACTCCGCCTTTCCCTTCACTTCGCCCCTCCTCACGCAAGCTCCTCTTCCGCTTCCCTTCGCCTTCGTCTCTATCATCCTCTCTTCCAATTCCGCATGCTCCTTCCTCTTCCTTCCTCCCTCCCCCCAACTCCGTCTTGCCCTCCTCATCACACTCACCTCCCCTTCGGTACGCTCTACTCTCGCTTCCGCCCACGTCGCCTCTTTGTCCACGTCCCGCGTCGGCCTGCCACTCGCCTTCTCAGACACTCCCTCCTCAGCCTCTTTCTCCTCTTACTCCTGCTTTCCTTTTCTCCTTCTCTCATAGCCTGCCTCCTCTCCTCTCCATCTATCACTTTCCCATAAGCCTCGCCCATCACTAACAAAAACTAAAAACAACACAATCCATCTACTTCCCTCTCTTGCTCTTTACCGTCCAATATCCCAACTAATTTCCCTCCCTTTTCCCCCGCTCCCCATTCTCATCCTCCTTCTTTCCCCTCCTCCCACCGCCTGTCACCGGGATGGGTCAGACGATGCTCGAATTTAGATACCAATGGACGCGGCGCTCCGCATCTCGACACCCTCCGAGCCCGCTACAGGTGACGCTCCACTCCCCATCTCTCCTCTCTACCCGCCTGTCTCGCCGACACCCTTCATCGCATGAGCTCCGGCCTGTAGGATAGCCACGACATTCAACCTCCGAGTGTCCACAATGAGTAGAATCGCAGTGGAGGAAGTCTTACATGTGTTCGAGACAGTGACACACAGGGGAGAGGGAACGGGCAGAGAGAAGTGAGGAGAAAGGACGCAAGAGAAGAGAGAGAAAAGAGAGAAGAGAAAAACAGGGCTGGACTCACGATAAGTAGGAGGAGAGGGAGGGAGGGAGGTGAGGGAGCCGAGTAAGCAACTTTGGTTTTTTGTGTGTTATGAAGAGAGGGATTATCACCAAACGGACAAAAGCAGACAATATGAAGCAATAATAATGGTGTGAATAATAAGAGTAGAATGAATGGACAAATGATATAATGACTGATACTTACCAATAAGCAGGCAACGGCAGACAAACAATAAAAATCTAATAATAATAATACGACAATAATGAGATACTAACAACAAAAACAACAACAACAATAACAAAAACAACACTAATGTTTCACTTTCACTTCCATATGTGGTAAAGCAGACTGTTGCTGCGTAGCTGAGTACAGTTGAAAAGATAGACAGATGGGCAGATATATTAATATATACGGCAGATAGGCAGATATAGATAATAGACGCTGACATAGATACAGGTATACGTATGTAGAGAGACAGATAAAGATTTAGCTGTAGATACATATATAAACATAGATATATATGGATAGATATACAGACAGGTAGACAGAAAGATACAAAGATTGATTGATAGAAAGACACAGACAGATAGAAAGACAGATAAACAGTTAGTTAAATATATGGATAGATGAGGAGAGAGAGAGAGAGGAGGAAGAGAGAGAGAGAGAGAGAGAGGAGAGAGAGGGCAGAGAGAGAGGAGGGAGAGGAAGGAGGAGGAGAGAGAGAGAGAAGAAGAGAGAGAATGAATAAATCAAT